TCCTACCAGCTCTGCTCCTTTTCACACAGCACAATGCCATTTCCAGAGGGACCTTGGCCCACGTCCCTAGAAGCCGCCCTTGATCTGCAAGGGGAGTTTCCCAGGGACAGGGACACAATCCCTCTTTGGTCTGCCCATCCCCTTGCTGCCCCCTGATGGCAGCAGAAGGCCTTGCCTTGTCACAGTCACCTCCCCACAGGTGAGGAGGAGGACTGGAGGCAGGCAGGGTGGCCAGAACCCAACAGGACGGCTTCCTGTCACCCTGTCCTCTTTCTAATCACTTCTCGTGGTGTGAAACCGGCCTTCAGCTTACGGTGCCGGGAGTGGGTTCCCTCTCACACGGACCTATCAGGTGGAAGGGCTCGAAGGAAGGGCAAGTGGAGCACAAACTAAACATCACTTCCCCTGCAGCAAGGCGTCCCGACCTGAGAACAGGCGCCTGTCCCCAGGCTGTGTCCGGCCCTGTGCATGCCCTGGGGACCGTGTGTGGATCCCAGGTGCAGCTCCACCTCTGACATTTACACAGCACCGGCGTGGCACGCAGGTGTGCACAGGTTAGGTGCAGATGAGGCTGCATCTCGTAGGGGATCAGAGCCTTGGAGGAGTGTGGATTCCGCAGGGGTCCCGACACCCGGCCCCAGGACACCGAGGCACGACTGTGATGTCCCTGCCAACAGGGTGAGCCTGGAGGATGTCTCTGCCAGTGTGGCACAGCTCTGTGCCCCCCGCCCAGGGCCCGGAACTCACTCGAGCACATCGCGGTTGAATTGCTTCTGCCAGTTGCCCAGGAACTCGCCTATCATCTGGCGGCTCAGGCCCTTGCGCTGCAGCAGAAAGTGGGCCACACCCACCGGCGTGTCAGGGACGAAGCCACGCTCAATGAGGTACTGCACACCCTTCTCAGGCTTCCTGGGAGGAGAGAAATGCGCTCGGCCCAGGGGCTTGTGTCAGGGGCGGCCTCCTCCCTCCTGCCCCAGCCCTGGGCCCTGTCCTTGCCTCTCCTCCACAGGCACAAGTGGATATCCAGGGGCCCAGGCTTCCACTTGAGACCCTGGGCCCAGGACATCCTGCCTGGCCTGGCCCCAAGTCTGAGATGGAGAGGTTAAAACCCTCTACCCTGAACCACCCAAAACCTGTGCCAAGAATGGACGGGCTGGGCTGGCCATGGGGAACCTGCCTGCAGACCCCCCTGGGCTACCCGTGTCCCCCAGGCACTCCCTGAACCCCCACTCCTGTGGCCCACAGCACCTGGACCTTGACTGGCCATGACATCCACTAGTGACAGGA